GAAGTTACACAGGCATACATGTTTGTCCAAATTAAAGCCATACACTTAAAATCTGTGTTTTATTGTACGTGAATTACTTCTCAACAGACAAAAAGTAGTTAAAAAAATGGTTGGGAAACTTGATTTTAAAAACTAAATAGAATTTAAGATATGAAATAGATTGAGTTTGGTTTTTTTTTCTGAAGCTGAACATCTGGGTTTTACCTATATATCCTAAACAAAATGTACTCCAAAACACACTAAAAACCAACCAAATAATATGACACATACGCTATGTATTATATAAAAAAACTTCAAGGCCCCAAATTAAAATACATGATTAAAAGGCACACTAGGCTTAAAAAGAACCCTTTGAAAACAAAGCTCCACTTGAAACATTAGCACTGTCATATGCTCATCTTTTAAGTACTAGAGTAAAAACTGATGTTTTAATTTTATTTGAAACATTCATATACACAGAACACTTTGGTGCTCATGTTGCTTTAAGTCTCATCCTCACACGGAGATCAATTATAAACACAGGTGAGTTTCAGAGACAGAGAGAGAGAGAATGAGTGAATGAATGCATGTGCACAGGAGGAGCTGAGTGAATGGCTGAGCTACCATTTCTTCATTTCTAAACTACCCACTACCCTTTCCAAATCCAGGATTTGAAATATTACTGGGGTTAGCCCTCTGCTGTTTTCAGGACTGCTGAGAGGATCCCCCAAAACTTAAACCATTCTTTTCTCTTCTGCTACAGGACCTCTAAAGAATGAATAATCACTGCTCCTTAAGAATTGCTCACTCACCATTCCCACCAGAGGCTAATGATAGTCAACAAAGACAGTCAATTACTCATCTGAAATGCCAGAATCATGACAGCACCAGCAGTTGGTCCAGAAACATCTGTGACTTTGGGTCAGCAATGGTTGGCAGAAGCAGGAGGTCACAGAGGTAGAGCCAGACTAAGATGTCTTTCTAGGAAGGGAGATGGGCCTGGGTCAGCCTTGGGCCTTACCAGCACGGTGATGCCTTGTTCTTTGCACAGCATGGCCACTGCTCCCAAGAGAATACTCAGTAGCACCCAGAAGGTAGAAGAATGTGTCCCCTCCTTATTACCTGTCAATGAAGAGAAATGATAATGTAAAAGCCATGCAACACAGCTCAATCTTGGGGGCTGCAGGAAGTAAAATTCTAATCATGCAGCTGGTATATGCACAATTGAAAAACAGAGCTTGGTCTGCTGACAGCATTTCCCTGTAGGCACGTGTGCTAGACCCTGAACTTCTGGTTAGACAACGCTCTCTAAATGGTAGACCCCTTCCCACTCAAGGCTCAACCTACCAGTGCCCAGAAACTTTCGGGGGGCATTCTAAGGAAACCCTGGCCACAAATACGACTCCACATCAGAGTCTTCATGGGGCAGTTCCTTCTTCTCAACCTGCCCATCACCTAACAGACTGTTCTGACAAGTGGTGGTGAGAACTCCCACTGAGATATCAAGCAACCCATCTGGTTTCAGGATGGACCTAGCAGTAGCTGCTTCGGTCACGATGGTGGTGTCAGGAGTGCCTGAGCCAGCTCTGTGAATCTCTTACCACCCCAGGGACAGAGGTCTAGGCTCTCTGAGTATCAGGGTAACTTCAGATACGTAGGAGTCCCTGGGTGGCGCAAATGGTTAAGTGCTCAGCTACCACATGAAAAGTTCGTGGTTCGAACCTACCCAGAGGTGCCTCGGAAGATAGGCCTGGCAATCTCAGCCATTGAAAACCCTATGGAGCAGTTCTACTGTATAATACATGGGGTCACCATGAGTTGGAATTGGCTTAACAGCAACTGTTTTCTGTTTTTTTTCTTCCAGATGTGTACACTCTACCACCAGTGTAGACAGCTCTGACCTCTATGAAGGATGCATAACCACTGACAGAGGGCTGGCACCTGGCACCTGGGACAGGTAAGGCACAGGCCAGGCTGGGCTGCCAGTCTGCACAAGGGCTCAAGCATGAATAGGAGGCTAAAACATCACCAGCAAGCTAGACATTGTAATAAGCAGCTCAGGGTAGGAGTAAGGTTGTGTAATAATTGGTGGCCCCTGAACTGCCTTCTGAGAATGGGGGCTCTGGTTACACACCGTTTTGGTGAGTGGTATGTGCAATTTACAAGCCTCTGGGTGGCACAAACGATTTACACGTGGCTGGTGGCAAAGTGGTTATGTGCTCGGCTGTTAACCGAAAGGTCGGTGGTTTGAACCCACCTGCTGCTCCGTGAGAGAAAAGACCTGACGATTTGCTTCTATAAAGATTACAGCCTTGGAAACCCAATGGGGCCGTTCTACTCTGTCCTATAGGGTCACTATGAGTCAGGATGGGTCTCAAGGACAACAGGTTTACTAACTAAAAGGTTGCTGGTTTGAATCCACTCAGTGGCACCATGGAAGAAAGGCCTGGCAATTCACTTCAGTAAGATTACAGCCATTAAAAACTCTGTGGAACATAGTTCTACTCTAACACACGTATGGTCGTCAGGAGGTGGAATCAACTCGATGGCAACGAGTTTGGTTTTCTGGTTTATGTGCAAGTTGGGGCCTGAGCTGAACTCCTTGGAAGAGAGGAAAGACCATACATGTGGCTCATTTCTGTTCTTCCTTCGTGAAGCCCTCGCTTCCTCATCTAAATGGGGAAGAAACATTTTTAAAAATACAGGTTTGAAGCAGGGCAAAAGTGAGCCTGCCTGGAGGATCTAACCATCAGCTTGCCTGGCATGCCTATGAATCTTGGTTCAGTTCTGCTTAAAACCAGAACTCCTGGTCTGCATTCCAGCTCTGCCATTTACCATGTGGCCTTGAGTAAGTTACCTGCACTCAGTCTCAATATCCTCATCTACAAAATGGGGGCAACACTGCCTACCACAGGATGTATCTGAGAGGAAAAAAACTATATAAAAATACCTGCCCATATGTGTTAAAAATATACATAAATATGTCTGTATATGCACAGCATATCTCTGGGAAATACACACACACACACACACACACAGGCACAGAAAAAACTGATCCAGAAGTTTCTCAGCAGCTCTAAGAAGGAAAATTGGGGTAGGAGAGAAAGGAAGTCTTATTTTTCACTGTATATAACCTTTATTTAAAAAAACAACAACAAAAACATTTCTATCAAGTTGATTCTGACTCATAGCGACCCTACAGGACAGAGTAGAGCTGCCTCCATAGGGTTTCCAATGCTGTAATCTTTAAGAAGCTGACTGCCACAGCTTTTGCCCATGGAGTGGCTGGTGGGTTTGAACCGCCGACCTTTTGATTAGCAGCAAAGCACCTAGCCATTGCACCACCAGGGCTCCTTGTATAACCTTTAGTATATTTTTAATTTTTAGAAGCATGTATTAAAAACCATATTGAAAACTAAACATTAAAAAAAGTCAAGTGTTATAGTGGTAGGACCACAGAAATCATTCAATAAACGTTTTGCAGGTTTTTTTGTTTGTTTCTTACAAATGTATTTGTTTATTTATTTATTTTATTGTACTTTAGGTGAAGGTTTACAGAACAAATAGTTTCTCATTAAACAGTCAGTATACATATTGTTTTATGACATTGGTTAACAACCCCACGACATGTCAAC